TGTTCGTGACATCACCTAAAAACATTATCACTCAACACGCAAACGCTGCCTACTATAGCCTAATGCAATATGCAACACTTCAATCAATTCAACACTTCAGTCCCTATTTGCTATTTAATTCCCAATCGATGTGAACTTATTCACTACAAAGAAGCCAGTTGATTCCTCCACAATAAAGCGGGATTTACAAATCCAACAGCTAAAAGTGATAAAGAAATACCTCTACTGCTTTCTGGCGCAACCGCAGCTCGATTTTTCTCCTGTTTTCCATCACAAACACCTCTCAGTTAAATTATTTGCTGGATTTTCATGGAACTCTAACACTCGATCATATTCTCGCAACACGACCGTGAATCAAACACAAATCAAGAATAAAGGAAGTGAACAGAATGTACACAGGTCGAAGATTCCGGGAACTAAAAGGATTCGCGATCGAGTGTTAGTCGAGTGAGTAGTATGCTTGTCTTCTTCCTATAAAATCCCGGGTTTTATCACCCACTTGGGCCAATGGATTCGCACTGCTAATGCGACCCAATCAGATCTTTTAGCGGCTGTCCAACAGTGCTTCTCAGCTTTTAAGCTCACATCTCATTCACGCGACGAATTCATCATCTAATAACAAATCAAATTCTTCATTCTTCTCATAAAAACAAAACAATAAAGCCATATTGTTTCGCAGTGTGCCCCGAAACCAGTTTCCTTTTACACATATTGCCACAGGAACATTGTCTGGTGCACCAAGTACCTTTATTCAATTTGTTAAAATTTACTTACCACCAAAATTACCTTTCTAGGGTAGAAACAGATGAATCAACAATGGCGAAGTGCAATTAAATGAGACATCTGTAGCAAAACCGCTAACCGGGAACATCAGCCAAGCAGATGTCATCCATTCTTAATACAATGACTGGTGAAGTCTATCCCTTTGTGGGCATTGAGTGTTTAAGTGGTGACTTTTCCCGTTGTGTGTTGCATGGCATCCCTTCGACTGGCCGCTTCCTCCTTCCTGAAAATTGTATCTTTGTATGTGCAATAAAAGGAAGTAAAAATGAAAAAAGGAAGAAAAAAAGGAAAAGAAAGAAAGACGCTACAAAAATCTGAATTGTGGTGGTGTTAAGCTATTTGAATCACTATCCTTGGCGTTCTTTCGGCCCAAGGTCCGAGGCCTAAACAATGGAAATAAGGTCTGGCTTAGTAGCACGATCTTAGTACCGAGTCCTAAATAGATTGATTCAGGTACAAAGGTGGTTGTCGTAGTGACCCCGCTAATTACCGACCTGTAACCCTGCTTCCGGTGTTATTGAAAGTCAAGGAGTCGATTGTGGCAGATTCTCTGATGAAACACCTCGAAAGTTACAACATTCTTTCGACAGATCAACATAAGTTCAGATAAAAGCGACCCTGCTCCGCCAACCTGCTTCTTGTTCGAGATGAATGGGCCAGAACAGTCGACGAACAGGATTTTCTGGATGTGATTTATCTCGACTTCTCGAAAGCATTTGATCGGGTGAATCCCCAAATTTTGTTACAGAAGTATTACAATTACGGCTTTCGAGATTTCATGTTTGTTTTGATTAGCGCATTCCTCCGACAACAGACCAAATAAGTTCGTGTTTCTGATTCCCTATCCGAATTTATGAACGTCACTCGCGGAGTTCTACAAGAGTCTGTACTCGGTTCTCATCTTTGCCTTTTCATTCATAAATGGTCCACCGAAAGTGTTAGATCCAAAAGCAATACTGTTTGCAGACGACGCCAAAATCTAGAATTCAGTAACAGAACCCGAGGTCCCTCTAATACTTCAAGAAACACTTAACGTAGCTTATCATTGGCCTAAGGAGAATGACATTGAATTCAGTATTTCTAAATGCAAGATCCTATCCCTACACACACAAGAAGATTCTCGTATTTCCTCGGGGATCAGCAGCTACCACATACTTCAAGTGAAAAGGACATAAGTATTGCTGTTCAAGAGGATTTAAGCTGCTTCATCAAATGAGCTAAGGCTTTGTCCGCCGCTGTAAAGAATGTTGGCTTACTTCGGCGAGTCTTTGGCCGGTTTGAATCAGCACTGTTCCCACGTTTGATATCAGTGTACATTCGATCGTACACGGAGTACGTCATACAAGCTTGAAGTCCATGGTTGCAATGTGATCGCAGGATACTTGAGCGTTGACAAAGGATGGCCACCAAGATTGTCAGGGGATTACATTATCTCACCTATGAGAAGAGATTACGATCATTGGGGCTATTCTGTTCAGTCCCGCCGAAATCGGGGAGACTTGATTTTGACGCATCAAATACTGCAAAACCCAAACCATCCATGTTGGCCGCTGCTCATGTTATCGAATAATATACAACTTCGGGAACACCGTATCAAGTTACTGATTCCAAATTGTCGAATAGGATGCTGGTGTCACTCTATTGCTGTTACAGTAGGCAGCACTTAGAGCACCCTTCCATCTCACGTCATTTGTGCGCCAACTATTGAATTTTTCAAGCGGAGACTCCATGAAACCTTGATATACCCCACATTCGTACACCGCTAAAAACAAACGCAAATTCATTGAAGCTTACATTCTCTATTATCTCCTACCTGAAACAACATTTTATTTTTTCCGCCGTGAACCGATTCAATTGTATAAATATCCTATGGGGACAAGAGAAGCACGAGTTTTTAAGTGATACCCATAATAAAACCTTGACTCTCGCCACTCCGTTTCCTATGGCTCAGGTCTTCGGTGACCGGAACAGCGGTGGTGCAACTCAAACTCTGAACTCTTAGTCTGCTCGTCAATACCGCTTGGTCGCCACTGTCTAATATGCTAGAATGCGGCAAGTGCCATTTGTGCAACCGTCCCTTCTATTCCTCTCCGACTCTGCCCCCTCTAACGGCAAAATAAAGTCGCAAATCCGGTTGCAAAGTGGAAAACAAACCTGTTTGGTTGCCTATGAATATTTGCGTTGTATGAATATTGGCGCTATACAGCAGCGAATGTCAATTGTGTGCGCAGCAATTAACATGCTACGGATTCAAGGGAAAACAGGTATCAACATGAAGTAACCTGTGTGTGTGTGTATGTGTGTGCGTGAACGCGTACCTTTTATCTCCCCTCACCCCAGGGGGAACCTGCATTTAACTAGACAAATATTGAGGGAACAAAGCTTCCACTTGTGGTTTTCAACCATATAATAGCTAAACAAGTTATTCTCCCAATTCGAAAAAACGCTTAGGAAGTTCACTTATAATCAAAGAAAAAGAAAACTGTCTCTCCCTCTTGTTGGTTCATTTTGAGAACAAAGGGAAAATAAAAAGTAACTGGTTTATTTTAGTAACCACCTTCAAACTTTTCCCTGTATTCAACTAGAAATAAGTGGAATAAATATACCTCCAGTTTCACCACACAGGTTTTTAAATTCCTATCAAGCTATGGGTTTTATACGAGGGGGGTGGGGCTGAGGGAAGACATATAATATCTAATAGTTACTCACTTTGAACCAGGTGCGTACACGTAGCATAGATTTAATTTAAACTGGCTTACGATAAGATTATGTGGGGTTCAGGATTTTGACTCCCGAACCGAAGAAAATAGCATGCACACTGACAAAAATGGGAACTAGTAATTTTTGCTGTCTGTCTTTGGACCGCCGCATCATTTTATCGCACTTGGGTCGAAACTGTTGAAAAACATCCATCGTAAGCAGGAGGAGGCCTGGTGTATACTCGAAACGGTTAGATCTCGCTAACACTCAAAATTATGTTCCAGTTTTTCGATATTTTTTTTGGTGTTTATCTCTTGAATTAATTGAAACATTCTTATAATCACTGAAGAATCATTTGAAGCAACTTGTTTGAAACTCTTCCGTTGTGCACACTCACTGAACTAACTATACTTCGAAACCGTACAGAAAAAGTCATTGATCAAATGTCATTTGGCATATCTGGATTGTCCAAAACACAGAGGTCGTGGTTTATTTAAGTTTAAAGGCTGTGGAGTGATGTTTAACCGGAACTGCGTTTCACACTTGTCTCTGACTGGCCGACCGAAGTAATAGCCTGGAAAAAAGACAGAGACAGACCTAGAGACAGACGGAAACCTCGGTTGCTATTAGAGTTGACTTATCATCCATCCATGCAATTATTCTGCTCGTTATTTTCCGCACAGAAAAGATCGTTCACAGTCAAACAGTAAATTGCATATTCAGATTGATGCTGCTTGAATGATTTGGTTGGAAAACCTCCACGTAGAAACGAGCTTACGGATCCCGTTTTTAAATTGAGGAAGGTCTATAAACAGCTATTGGAATAATGTTGAACAGTTTATCAGTTCCCAAGGCAAATTCAGATTATGGAATGAAGATAGTATGATACAGAAAAACCAAAAAAGGACGGTTTCTTATGCCCTGGGCACGGAATGGGCCAGTACAAAGAAGAAATATGGATTTATCTGGTACCCAAGCCTGTCTTTCATGTCAGACCATCATAGTCCCCAGATCAATTTACTCTGCTATGCAAAGCTTCACGCCGTCCGACACTAACTTTTTTATCATTATTTTTTACTACACACACCTAAGTGTAATGAACAGCAGACGGGGTAAAGCCCATAGTCATGAGGACCTGCTGTTCAGTGATGGAAACCGGCAACTTAAGCCCCGGGACTTGGAGTGGAGACCCACATAAGCCCCCGATCGTTTAGGCGTGGTATTGAACTGGACGACAGCAGAGCTGTCTACTACCAAATACCACCAAATAATACAGTTAAGCGTGAAGTGAGTCTTTGCAGACTGTTCTTTCGGGTGTGGACCGTGTAGTTTCAAAAGCTATCTGCAGGAAACTGACGCTGTCCCATGGTACCATCATCAACAATGTCTGTTCTATTCCGAGCCATTTAGTTTGAGCTCTAAGGAGTGCGAGTCAAGCCCCTTGACATTCGGCTACACCCTAGACCATTCCAAATGCCATGTACAAAATATGCGAACAGCTATGACTGACTTCCATGTCACAAGACGATGTAGGTGAGGGTATAATTCGTATATAGTTGTCCCCGATCGGACCAACTGGGCTGTGTGCCCCGCGCGGCACGACTTAAGTCACCTTGTTCCTTGGTGTCAGTGAATGACTGGACGAATATGAAATCGGGATGCACAGCTGTGTATGGCATTATACCTGGTACGGTACTGGTTCATTTGTTGACTGAATCTTCTTTAGCATATTTTCGATCGGCCTCAGTGAAAACAAACGAGGCCAGTTGTTCTGTGTGTGGGGACCTTTGTCAAAATCGAGCAATTAGTTTGACCGTTAAAATTGAGCGAATATTGACCGATAAGTATACATTTTTCCACTAATGCTCGCCATTTCATGAGACCCCGGTCACAAAAATATCTTGTCCATCTGTGATATGAACTTCTAACGGAAAACTAATCGGTTAGCACCTACGGTTTGGAAAATGACGAGGAAATCGTTGTCGAAATTTTGAACATATAGCTGTATCTCGTTTCTGTGCTGATTCGATAGGCTTGTTTTATTTTAGTCTGGTTTTTTTTAATTTCGAACAAAAACGTCGTTACGTTCACGCCTGACACATTTCAATGATCCCATAACTCATTCAATCCTCCAAACCACATCGATCCTGACACCTTTTCACCTATTTCACTTCGTTCCACTGTCACCTACTTTCCATTCGCTGATATTCGCCAGTGCTGGACAGGAGTAATACAGCCATCATCTGTGCTTGCGTCATTTCTAAGCCCTTCGCAATACCGCCACCACCAACAACAGCAGAAACACAACTACCACTACCGAATCGTTCCATAGGCAAGGTCTACACCTAAGCGAGAACGGACGCCAAAAACACGTATCTGGCCTTAACTGTTCAAAATGCAAAACAGAGTCCATGTGAATGGAAAAGCAGTATTTGAGCACAGCAAATACTCTCTTAATAAATATTTTCGTTAAGGGAGAGAGAGCATGTATGTTTGTGTGCACGTGTGTGTTTGTGGACAGCTTAAACCCCGTGACCTGTTTAGATTGACCAAAATGTCATATTCCAATCCTGCAATTAACAAAGCGGTAGCAATTAAATAGTCCGGTAGCCAGCAATCCGCGTCCATCCATGAAGTATCGTGCGTACACCTCAACTATAATTAAATCCAAATCAATAATCCAGTGATGATGGAATTTTCAGTTTAAGTATTGTGTACTTTTTGTGTGTACGTATGCATATGGGTGACCCACCCTCATCTCACCACGCTCCAGAAACAACTGTTTGTCGTGAGGGCTTCCTGGAGGAGTTTTATCGAAATAATTACAACGATTGGATCAGATTTGACTTAATTACTGACTAGTGACCAAATATAGTTCAATCACATTATTACAATAATCTGTAAAGTAATAAACCACTAAGGAGAGCAGCTATGTAAAAGTTCCAATTCCATAATGATCAATGGAGCGCGCGGGTAAATACAGACAGAAAAACTACAAAGAAAATATAAGCAAACTACTGCATCAAACTTGCAACAGTGCCTGTTGTCTGTGATAAACCGAGTAGGTTAAACCAAACATTCACCGTCTAAATTGATTAGGCCATTCGCAGCAGCAGGTGATAACTGTCTTCCGACGGGGTGAGGGTTTGAAGGACCGACCCGAAAGTTCGCTGTTCGAGTCCCGACAGGACCCAGAAAACACGCACTGCTGACGAATCACAAAAGCAGAACGAAACGGCTGTTAAGTTTTCTTTGTCGGTCATCACAAACATTTCCATCGCATCTAAGTGTATTACACTGGCGGGGAATCAACGATTTTCTAAGGAGTGAAACCCACACCCAGGATCATTAACAAAGCCTGATGCTTGTGAAAAACCCAATGGATCAATCGAAACATTTACCGTCCAAATAGCTCAATCACATTATTATACTAATATAACGTTTGCCCCTCCCCCCCACACACACACATATATAGAGCAACCACAAATAAAATATGCGCAACCCACTTTGTCAAACTTTCCATAGTACCGGATAATATCAATTTTTAGCCGATCAGCTTACTTCCTCCCCCACCCCCATTCCAATCAGATGCAATCATGCGGTTGGTGTATAAAATAAAACAGTTGGCATGTCATTCAACCGCTCCCGTGGACATGCATTTTATGGGTGAATTTCTTCAGCTAGAGATCAGACTCGTCATTTGTATTACACCGAAGAATTGCACAGAAAAATAATCTTTCTTTGAAGATGAAACAAATTATCTTGACAGATGATATACCATTTGTCCGAGAACTGGAGAACATGTAGCTGGGTTGTAATGGGAGTCAATGTGGAATTAAGTTGTGAAAAAATGACTACGCTATTGATTAAAAAGGCTCGTCCTCCCGTTTGGTCCACGTTTAGTTCCTTAGCGCAAGATTTGTACTTCCATTTGACAAGAGAAAGCAATCAATCGATTCACCTACGGAAGCGATCGATCGATACTACCCGATGTTGTCAAACGCCTGCGTGCACGCAATCCCGGATTGAAAAGTTCGCCCGACTGAATGTACAGGCACTCTGATCAACCACAACATTTGTGATTCTCCATTCAGCTTTCCTCATCAATCGGACGTGCGTTTACTACACTCAAAAAGATGGAACCCACGGTCCGACACGAAAATAAACTTTGTGCTGCCTAAACTAGGCTCGGGAGTATAAGTACACAAATAAGTGAACAAAGGATCGCCAAATATGCATATCTGAAACCGCGAAACCGGGCGCATACTCGTGGAAGATGTTTTCTGCAGTCATTGATTTACTACTTAATATGAATTGACTTCCTCAGGGGTTTTCACATAGATTGTCTGGGAAGATTCATTGACTGCGTGTGTGTTCTGGTGAGTCACAGCCGAAAGCTGAATACCCCCCCCCCCCCCCA